CCACTTTAGAAAGATTCTGAGCGACGCTCGACCACTCCCACTTTGCTCTCGTCGGGGACATCCCCCTTCCCGTCGGGGAAATCAGACCCTCGTCGGGCAAATCCATACCATCCCTGTATTTATCATCTGTTCGTATGATATGCTTTAACTTCTATAGCAATGCTACCTGAAATGAAGGAAATTGCATCGAGTTAAATTAAAGAACAATGTAGCCTAGAATGTACCGCACTGATTCGACCTTGGCCTTAGGGCTATATCTCAGATTTTCTGATAGTATCACGGAGGACAGATTAGGAATATACCCTTGTTCATGTAAATTCCCAAAGCACCCAAAGTAATTCAATACAAGTCAACATAATAACATGTAAAAGATTTATAACCAAACACCCTAATTCTCTGCATTAAACATTAACTATCAACATTGCCTTTCGAGGAATTAACGGATTTATATAGAGATTTTAAATAACTGTACCTAACTATAATTTGAAAACAACGCATTTGGGATTTCAGATAGCCTATAGTTCGTATAATATAGTACACTATAGCGAATATCTAAGCTCTAGCCTAACACTGTCCTTGGCAAACTGTAACAATTTATCTCCTCCCAAGTTTATTCTTCATAAATAGTAGCATATTATATGATCAAGATAGCCGTTAACGCTGTTAAATTATATATAAATCACCAAAGAAAGGTAAGTGTTTGAATAAAGGAGATAATGGTAAATCATGTAGCATAGGCCTAGCTCTCAACGAATGTAGTCCTACAAACAAATAAATACATTGTTTTAACCGGAAAAGCTAGCCTCAACGTCGACCAAACCATGCTAGTGGGAAATTGTCTAATATACCGTACTTTAAAAATTCACGTCGACGGATGGAATGAAAGCTTTGTGATACAATAAGAGGTTTTAATTGGTACGAGGTTGCTCTGAACACGCCGATAGATTTATGTAATTTGACATACACACGGCACAACTAAGATAGTGATAATATGAGTATCTGTAAAGCCATGTTATTTTTAACTCGTTCATCTAAAACTTGCTGTTTGTGATTAAGGACTAAATTTAGAGCGCAAAAATGATCGAATTAATATCGTGCTATGCAAATAATTTCCGACTCATGAATTAGATGGTGTTATGGATTTGTTTGCTGTCATATGCCTCCTTAACACGATTGTTGGTTTCCTTTAATTCTCTAAACATTTATAGATAGGCCTTCACATAATTTTGCTCCGTCATAAAGAACTGCATTACAGTATAAAACGTTGTATTGTGAAAACTTAAGGGGTAATCTATAATTTTCATTTTAAATTTGTCCCCTCCCCACCGTAAAGCGTATTGTGCTCTTGCGAAAATGATGAAACAGTGGATGGACCCTATTAATGATGATGATAATAATAATAATTAAGATAATGATAAAATAATAATAATATAATAATAAAACATAATAGGCCTAATAATATAATAATAATAATAATAATAATAATAATAATAAATGTAATAATAATAATAATAAATGTAATAATAATAATAATAATAATAATTGTTATCATCGTCATTGTCACATTATTATTATTATTACAAGCGTTTAAGAATTGGCCTTGATGACATTTCATATCATCGGGACACCTACAACCCATTAATAAATAGACCTAAATATTTTAATTACAAGAAGGGATTAGGCGGGCCTATGTACGGATGCTGGTAACATTTTAACATTATAATACCGTAATTTGTAATATTACAGCTCTCTAAAGAAGGCCTCTTTTGAATATTCGCCGCAATGAAGTCCCCCAAGCGCCGCGGCACTTATTCGGTTATTTTACGGTATTTTTGGGTACGGTATTCTGTGGCATTTATTTTTCTTTTCCTGTCGTTAACGATTACACTCATGTCTCACAACATGATGTTCGTTTTGCGGTCTGACTCGATTTACTCAACTGACGATTATCAGGCGTTCCGTGTTGTTCTTCACAGTTGGATGTTGTCCAAACTTGACTTCATCTCTGTATGAGATGATGATTGATTGACAGATAAGAGGGTTATGATGTTGACGTCACCTTTGTAGGAGACCAAAAGTTCTCTTTAAATCCACTAAACAAATTCCGGGAATATGTTTCTTCATGTAATTCTGATGTACACTTAAATATGAAATACAACATTGCTTCTGGCATCCAATATATCTATGTTTATGGGACAAGCGCGTAATCCTGGAACTGTTCTGATTGGCCAGATAAATTTGATTGACACTCTGAAAAGACCGATTCAAAGGCAGAAAATGTTTTCCTCAACAATACAGATCGCGTAGTAATACCCATCCCATTAGCTACCGTATAGTTTGTTCAAGAAGGTATAAAAATAAATTTTTTATACCTCCTTGGTTTGTTGTAGTCTGAAAATCAACGAAAACTGCATCGTTTCGATCTGTCTTACTTATGGAAAATCGAATACTGTACATTTGGCCCATTTGATCAATTCATTGTTTTTGGTTGGAAATTAGGGTTTTTCAAATTTAAACAAAGAACAAATTAATGTTTCCTTCTCGGAAGTAGGTCTGGTCAAACCTTCGATAAACAAGTTTCCAATTAATCTTGGTTAATTTTAAGGTAACCACTTATGTCGCTTAATGTGGATGTTTGAATCGATATTAAAACAAATGTAAACTTCATGATGTTTTCATAACAGATCGGGTACTGAAGTTTGGCGTAGGCGTGCAAACAAACTTTGGCACGTCGATTTCATTTGGCTATTAGTGGCTCTCACATGTATCTTCATTGTGTTTTTCAAATATAATAATAATAATAATAATAATAATAATAATAATAATAATAATAATAATAATAATAATAATAATCATCATCATCATTATCATAATTATAATTATTATTATTTAGGACTATTATTAAAATAATGATGAATAATAATGGTGTATTATTGTTATCTTCCGTATAAAAAATAACGATACAGTTCCTAACGTTTATTGAATTCCCCATAAGGCCAGTACGGTACTGTACTTTCGAGTAGTATACTTTCTTGGTACTAAAGTTGTTTTACATATGAATTGTATTGTGGAGCAAAGTCAATGGTGAGGTCTAACACTACCCCTTGGTCAGTTATTTCTGTTAATAAGGTATTTTGTCAAGTTTAAATCACTGTGCAGGCCTATTGGCTTGATATATCATCTGCGGTATAGTTGTTTATTTGACTGACCGTATCTTACGCCAATAGTGATATATTGCACGTTTACAATTTTGAAAAAGAAATTAATGACAACGTGGCCAGACTAGCTTCACTATTAACAGTTTATAGCAAAGCATGACCAAATAAACACATCAAATGTAATATAAACAAACGAACAATGTTATGGGTTTCCCGACGCGCTATCATGCAACACTTTGACAAACAAGATCACTTCTATTTTGGAAGATACCAAGCTTAATAATCGAAAGGTGATAATAAAGCGCACTCTACAAAGTCTCTCTTTCTGAATTCCAGTTACATGGGGAAGCTTGCGACGGGAAGCAAGTTTGTCCTGTAGGCCTACTCTTCAATTTTGTAACTATAAACTAGTTTCATTATAATTTCTGTTTTGATGGACTACCCGTAAGTCAATTGTTCATATAGAAAATAAAAGAAATAAGAGAAGTTTTCACACTATCACGATTCACGAGTAGGCCACTGGGGCTTTATCGAAATACGGAATCCGATTGGAAACACGCTTGCACATGCGGGGAACAACGCTAGTTCTCGACAAACTGCACATAAAAGATATTACAGGGATCAATGTCATGTACTACGACAAGTTGCTTATTAGAATCATGAAACAATAAAGGGATAAACTCTAAACCGTCGTTGCAGAATAATGCTATAGGCCTATGTTTAAGTATAGGCCTAGTCCCTATATTAAAATTTAAGAACGTTAAAGAAGAGTAATCTGCAAGTGCTACACACGTTTCCCCAACCCAGATTCGAACTCGGACCTCCTGCGACTCTAACCGACGACTGCCATACTAGTCTATACATAAACTTTTTCTTTTATAAGACCCCGTAAAATTTTGCCCAGACTCAGTGTTCTTATTATTTTTCCGCTTTCAGGCTCAAATAATGTTCTTATTTTGTATTACACACTTTTCAAACATGTAATATTATTATTGTACAGTAGTATATTACAGAGGGTGTTACATAACGGCAAATATGGTACAAATAAGATTTGTTTGTTTTATAATTTAAAAAAAACCCCAAAAAACACATTTGATATTTTACCTCAGCCTCAATTTGTTCTTATTTTGTTCCTAATTTTTGAGCAATTTCAGCATCAGTGTTCTTATATAATGTGTTCTTATAAAAAAAAAGTGTAGCATAACATGTTTTACCGTATTACGGTACCAATAGGTCTAATTACAGGTCTATTTTGTACAGTAAAATTAAACGTCGTTAATTGATGAGAGCATCGTTTTCTGCTTCTAATTTAAGATGGAATTTATGAAAATAAAAAATAGGATACGCGATTCAATTCTACATTGTGGTGGCAGTGAAAAAGGAAAATTTAATATCTAATTTTGATAATAATTATTATATAGCAGATTACATAGGCCGAGGACTATTACTATACTGCAATTATGTATTACTGTATATAAGCCTAATATTTTATTGTTTTAATCCTGTACGATACCGTATAGACCTATGTGTTAAAATTACGGAATAAATTTAAAACATACCAAATGAGTAATTTATTTGTTTGATTCTAGAAGAATCGTATTTATTGTTTATTTTTTCTTCTTGTAAATCAAATTTAATTATATTTTTCTTTAAACTTGGAACCCACTAGGCTATGAACGGTGGAATGTTTGTTTGAGTTCCTCCTTAGGTTCAACTTTGATTGCATCAATTGGTGTATCATCGTTCCACTTGGCTTCTATAGTCGTTCTTTCGTTTCATTTTACATGATTTATCGGCCATGTTCCTGTCTCTGTTATGCATTGTTTGTTTTTGCTTTGTAGTTGTTTATTGTCAAGATTTTATTTCCAAAATGTGCCGTATGCTGCCTTTTTTTGTCCGGTTTTCATCGAGGAAACAGATCGAGGAAGAGTGGGCCTTGGGTAAAAGTTTTGAATGTTTTTCTTATCAATTACCTACCTAGGTTACTCTTGGTCGTTTTATTAGCGATCCTCTGACAAGGTCTACCGTAATTTATACATTCTAATTTTGACAGTTGATTGGCGCGTGAAAGTTTGTCTGACAACGTCGACCAATCCCAGGGGTTTTGGCCGCAGCCTATTCGATAGGGCATCATGTCAGTGGAGTAGGGTAGCATTCTCCTGAACAACGCTACTCAAATCACGTCAAATTTTAAGATTTGACACTTAAGTGATGGGATAATTACCCTTGGGGAGTGTCGATTGTACACTGGAATTCTAAACAAACATACATGCTAAGCCAGTGACAGCAGTAACTGCTTTTCAAATCACATTGAAGTCTCTTTCAACTATTTATCTCTCGCTTCACAATGCATTCAATCAAAATTGATATACAATCATGTATAATACATAGGCCTATCGAGAACCGCGAAAATTAGACTAGCATTAAAACGTACGGAAGCCTGCTACGACCTGATGTTGGCCAAGATTGGAAGCACGTATTGGATTGTGCTTGACAAAGCTATTAAAAAGTATTAGAAAGACGCTTTTCCGTTCTATTTATGTAAACTCGGCTTCGCTAGTGTTCAGACAACTGGGTCTTCACAACACTGAGAATCTTCAATGAACTTTTCAGACGTTTTCTATTAAATGGTGGACTACTTTATGGCATTATGAGTTGTAGCGGTACTCTCCGACTTGCTCTTTTTTTAACAGGTAAGTCAGTTATTCTAAACTCACTTATTAATATTATAATCATCGACAATTATGTATTACTGTTCATTCATGTCATATATATTCCGTGTAACCCTGACAATATTTATTATTTTTTTTAAATATAATTATTTTAATTAATAAACTTGTCGAAAGTCCTACATGTCCAACGATTGTCTATATAAACTGGTCATAAATAGGCAGTTTTGGGAATAAGAAATGATACCGGTACTGTAGTCAGTTGATTCACTTTTGATACCTAAAAGTCGCATCCAAGTAAAGTTTAAAAAACAAGGAATGTGGGTTGTGGGCAATGCCGTAGCCAGGGTTTTCAAACAGTGCGTGACAATATCAGAGTGGACCCACTTTGCGTGTAAATTCAAATATTGTGGACTCATTTTCTTAAAAGTTGACCCATTTTACTCAAAATTATGAAAAATCTGGACCAATTTTCTTAAAATTATATACATTTTAGTTTAAACATGAGAAATCTGGACCTATTCTTCAAAAAGTGGACTCATTTTATGCATAAAATTGCATAATTTGGACCCATTTTTAAAAATGTGGACCCATTCTTTGTGGACCCATTAGGAAAATTGTGTGATACTGTCCTAACTGTCCCAATAGCTGGCTACGGCTTTGGTTGTGGGTGTCTATTTTTATCTAGGCCTTTGATCAAGTTAAGAACCACAGTTATCATGAGACCATGCACAACGTAAGAGTTGGTTTGTGACCAATTATCGCTGGCCTTTAATTCAATTAATTTCTGACGGCGGCACAGTTTTCGTTTTATTTAGTACATTTCAATTAGTAAATAGGCCTACATTTCAATCCGCGGTAGGCCTAATATACTGAGTGTGCAAATGAAGGTTGGACTGGGGATCTGATATGAGACATAGGCCTACGTTATGTTTTCCTTGTGCATTTGTAAAGACATTACTTTTTATTTATTTTTTCTTGCATTCTTTAATTTGAAATTAAAAAGAAAATATATTAAGGAGAGAACGTAAACTTTTTCCAAGAAGTCAGATATGACAGTAGGCCTATAAACCGGTAAGTTATGAAGGCCTGCTAGTGTTCAATTAATTTTGTGTATTTAGAAGCAAGAAGAGCGCTAAAGGCCGTGAATAAAACAGAGGCCTCGTTTTAAACAAAAAGATAACCAGGATACAGAAACAACGTTTAATATATAAAACTGGTACGGTACCGTCTGATGTGATTCCTTACCATCTGTTGCCAATAAATACTTTACAATGTAACTTACACATTACAACAGCAATAACAAACTCAATTACTTCCGCAGAACGATTGAGTTATGTCCAAAGTTGGAAATATTAATAACTATTAAGGATACGTGTGCCAGTTACGACTCAACCAGAGCCTACTTCCACTAAAATAGTAGCCAGATTTATTTGAATGCGCGTTTATAATTACTGTTATCATAAGGCTATTATTTTTCCGTCATCATCATCATTATGCCTCCGTATCTGCATCTAGCTCCGTGGCCGAATCGTCTCATTACGATTATGGTCTAAGTATGTATAGGCCCAAAAAAGTTGGGTTAGACTATTTGCACCAATGCATAGTTGCCGATTAAAGTGCAGCCTTTTTAGGCCTACCAAAAAAGTAGACTACGGTTATATCGGCTAAGTTTTACAAGGGCTAGGAACGCATTCTGAAAATACGATTGTTAAGAAGCAGGAGGCCCACGTTAGCATGGTTGTCATCGATTAATTTTTGGAGCAGCAGGTTCGAAACCACTGAGTTGCCTTAGATCGCGTCAATCAGTTGCATTGATGTGTCTTCATTAAATTATAGAGAGAAAAATTACTTTGACAGCTCATGTTGTTAAATGGAGGATATCACGCTGAAATTGATAATGTCAACAGCATCTCAGATTGTTTGGTTCATTTCATGGATTTGTCAAATCCGAAAGAACAGACCTGAAGCATTAATATAATTTTCTCGCCTCTATTTTAAACATAAGAATTGTGGATGTGTTGGATTGATGGATGGTAACGGGGGGGGGGTGGGGGTGGTAGGTAAATCAGCGAGTGGTTGGATACCAGGAAATGTGACGAGGTGGACCGGGGCCTCTGTGCGTATGTGTGAAGTAGATAGACCGATAGATAGGTGGGATGTATTCCATCCTACTTAAATAGATGGATGGGTAGACGAAATAAACGGATGAACATAATAATTATGAATGAATTGATAGTTAGATACACGTGTGTATGCAGACATGACGGACAATAATAAAGCAATAAGACAAAAATCATAGAGCTATAACATATTCATGGCGCCATTTACGGCGCCAAATAAATGGAACGATTATTGATTGATTTTTTTTCCGGATTTTATGTAACTTTTGGCAGACTTATCACAAGATAAACATAAACACGATGCCCTATGCTACTAGGCTTAGGAGTGGAGTTGCTTTTGGTCGTCAGAAAAAAATCCTATAATATAACAGGAATGGACCTTTCCGGAGTTTCAATCAAGCTGAACAAGTGACCAATCAAAACGGGGCAAGGAGTGCGCGCGTGTCCTACAAACGCACGTGCTTGTTTTACACTGTCGTTTTGTACAGGGCTTTAGCAACAATACCCAGGGACGGGCTTTGTGGACAGGTCTATTGAACCAAGAACCTTGGGATTAAAAACTTAACCACTAAGCTATTTACACTCCAAAATTGATAGATTAATTGATCTGTAATTAGCTTAATGGACAAATAAGCCTATATCCCTACCTATTTTTTAAAGCCACCGGAGGTAAAAAGTACAAATGTTTGATACCATAATGTACAATATATGTTACGGAACTGCAACCAGGAACGGCTACCGGTAATAGGAAACAGATATTTGGATATTAAAAAACACCGGAGGAAAAGGGAAACCCCTTTAATGCCGTATAATACTCATTGTAAAACCCTGGTAAGTGGAACCAAATTTTTAGTTTATAAAAATAGAAGTTTATAAATTTGCAAATTATAAATACGTAGCAAATGACGATGGAATCAATAAATGTAAAACATGAAAATGCCGACACGTTGTTAATGTGATACTCCTGAGGTTAGAAGTCCCAGTAACTTATAACCTGTTTTGAGTAAGGGTCATGTACAGACAATAGGAGTCCCTGATCGACAGACTCAACCTGTAAAGTTGACAACCTTTGTACAAACATGACGTCACCACGATGGAATACGCATAATTTTGATAGGCCTATTACTGTATTATTGTTGTTAAATTACGATTATCATCGTTATTATTATATGCCTATCATTATTATTTATAGTTATTCATTATTTTTCTTTAACGTTATTACTTTTATTAGGCTTATAATTCTGGATAATATTAATGAGGGAACAGTGAATGTAATGGACTACAATCTTCATGGGCTTTTAAAACAGCAGATGGGCCGATACCTCATTAAAGAAAATTTGATACATATTGTGAAAAAAAACTAGTGAACATTTTAGGGCCTGCATAAAGTATTCTACTTGTTCGTCCTTAACTTACGAATGTCGTATCATATCATTAGGTTGAAGGTTAGAGATTAAACTTTGTTGAGAATTCCGTGGAGCAATTTACATACACTCCCATCAGGCCACTCAAGTGTTGAACCTGACGACGAATTACGACCCGAAATTACATCTCGTAAACTCAGTCAGCGGACCGACATTATGATTAATGACCAGTTACATAGTCAAACAATACAATATATTTAGCCGTAGGCTTATATAGAAAACGTGTTCTCATTTCGACGGCGAATTCCTGACTGTTGTAATGTGGGCCTATGCCCTAGATTTTGATTAAAGTTGAATTAGAGAGGCCTACCGAATAAAATCTTTATTATCTTAGTAACGTTTAAGGCAACCCAAAAACATGTACCTATGTAACTTGGCTATATATCATCAGCATCAAATTCCGATTTCAAAATCGATGGGTGATTTCTGTATCGAGGTCAATTCAGAAGGAACATGCAATTAACACCGATGTGTAATTACGATACAAAATGTATTTTTATCACCGACGTACACTTTTGGTAGCGACGTTCAATCGCGGCAAAAAATGTGTCAACGTGTTTTGTTGCGAAATTGTGTTTCTATGCGTGTTTTTGGAAATGAAATAAAAGAAAACAAAGAAAAATGACATATTACACCGACGTGCAACTTTGACCCTACAGTACAGTATATTATATTGGTTTTGGATTTTGTAATGCTAATTTTTTTTTTTTTTTTTAGATGAGATTTTTTATTGTAATATTGCATTATACTATATTATGTTGTTATATGTATGTTAAAAACAATAAAAAAAATAAAAAAAAAAAAAAAACTTTGACCCTAAACGCCTTAATATTGGCACCAATGGGTAAATTTCGCACCGACGCGTAATCGGCACCCGTTCAGTTTTGACACCGGCGTGCAATTTCGGCAACAAGCATGTAGGCCTCAGTGTCAGCTCAACGGGTAATCCGTCACCGTCGTTTAATGTTGGCACCACATATGAACGTAATATCGGGTGTCTATAAAACGAAGACCGAAGACCCAAAAACGAATACCCCTATTTTTTCTTTTATTTTAATTTCATTTCATGTCATTTCATTTTATATATTTAACCGAAAACAATTACCGTACAATATAAAAGGATAAAACAGTCAAAAAGAACAAAAAAGATACAATAACTGTTGGTCTTTGATTCCCAACAAGGGTCGGCGGGATAACCAAAAAGTAAAATAAATTACTGTCAAGGTGGGTCTCCATCCGATGTAGGGAATCAGAGAACAGCAAAACACACAAAGAATGTAATATAAATATAAATTATAATATAGAAAATAATAAGCATTTCGATTACAATCGTTCAATCGTTAGAAGCATCCTTATATTATTTAAAAAAATATATATTTGAGTTTATTTTATACAAATTAGTTAATGTTAAAATTTTATATAAAAAATTTTAAAAGCAAGCAAATCGGGTACAATAAACAAGACACTCAGAAGATCCGGTATTCAGACATGCCCAAGCATGATAATTGCAGTCATTGAAAATTATAATTATTATAATAGTGTTCCCTGGACAGCTTACTGAAAGAGTTGAAATTAAAAAGTGCTGCATCACGGATTTCCAACGGGAGCCAAAGAATGGGAAAGTGATTAAAAGTGGAAAAATTAAAAGCATTAGTCCGGGCAAAGGCATGCCTGAAAGCAAGTCTTATAGACAGTAAAAACATTTGAATACAAATAAAATCAAAATATATAATATTATGATAAAACACCAAGCTGTCACAAAATTATAATTACGATATTATTTGGATGTCTGAAATTTTCAAGGGTCTTCGTTTTATAGGGGTACACCCTACATGGGTTTTTACAAAACGAAGACCGAAGACCTGAAAACCGAAGACCTCCAATTATTTCTCAATTATCTTATTGAAATTATTTCAAAATCATCATTAAAATATTGTCAAGTACCTCTTTCATTACTTCATCGGAATAAAATTAGGAATATCAAGAAATACCGGTAATAAGGGTCTTCGTTTTATATACACACTCATGGGTGTCTATTATAACGAAGACCGAAGACCTGAAAACGAAGACCCACTTTTTTCTCTTAATCGTGATGAATATATTGTTTTTTTTAAATAACTGCATGCTATGTATAAACAATAATACTTCTAGCACATTACTGCCTGAACCTGAGTCAATTTAATCATTTACTTATTCAAGTTCCAAGGTGGCACCAATCCTTCCAGTGCAGAGAGCGTCTTGGCACTGCTACTCTCTAAACGAAAGTAAGGCTTGGCCTAGAGGTTTTTTTGTTTGTTTTTTTTTTTTTGGTGGGGGTCGGGGGGGACTATAAGAACCTTGAATATTTCATTCATAAATTTTTCATGTTAAAATAATCAGTAGGAATGTCGTATAGTGATGCATTTGTGCAGCATCGATCATTTGGTAGTGATACTATATTCTACTTTTACTTTCAAGTGTTTCTACCAAGTTCATCAAGGAGGGAACCAGGAATGAGATTAAACCTACGTAGTGGCAATGTAACAGGCTCTAGTGACTGTATACAAGTTATTGTTCCCCCCGTTCCATCAAACAACAAATTATGTGACCGTCAGGCCGTAATAAAGGTAGATTTTTCTGGACTTTGCAAATCCGTCAAGTTCGTATTATTATACGGCGAGGCTCCGACCTCCTGGACCGTTGATATATCAGACTCACAGACGGGGGACGGGTACGGGGGTAGCCGGGACCAGCTTAAAGCTACGAATATTGCAGAGACACAGATATTTGGTCGTCAAATGAGAATCTATAGTAACAGCCTTCCAGGACACACCGACGCTACCATCGACGGTGGACTGCTTTTAAAAGTTATTGACAACATCGCAGAAGAAGGATCAAGATTGACATTGCATATAAGTGACGAGCGGATACAGTGGAACAATCACAAAACGCAGAAAGGAGTCATGAATAGTAAATATCTCTACACCTTAAGTGGCCAAGAGCCATTGTTTGGCGAAGAAATGGAGTATAATATATATGCTGGATTCAATAGAGTTCCCGGTGGAACATTTCGCTCAGGAACAGGACTTTGCGAAGTTAACGTTTATCCATCAACTAATGAAGGTAAGGGTTTGCACAATTTAACCACGATGTTTTTTTTCTTTCATAAATTATTGATAAAAAGTCTGATTTTTTATTTTTTTGAGCAGACGAATGTTTTAAGAAATGTTGATACAATGTACAGACCTACTAGGACTAAACGTAATTTATTGTATTGTAACTTTCCTGAGTAGATTGTCGCCCGTATACACGCGTCTAAATGCACTCAAGACAAACCCACATCTGGAGTATAGTAATGGTATGTATCGGGGTCGTGTCTGACGGGGAAGATCGGAAAATGCTCAAAGATATGGGAAGCCCTTCAATCAGTAGTATCAAATGGGAAGGCATATGGTTGCGGCTGAGAGATACAGGAGAGGAAATCCCTTATAACTACGTCATAAGCCTCACGGTAGCAAATATTAGGGGAGAGCCTTGGCATTAACACCTAAATTAAGCTTAGGCCCTATTCATGTAAATATAACGGTGATTACATACAAATGATAGGCATGAAACGACATTAATTAGCGAGGGTCAGTCACAAGCCTCCCGCTAATTGAGCCGCATTCAAGTAAGCAAGAATCTCACGGAAACTACCCATCTCTAGAAAATTCATTATTTCTGTATGTTTTTATGACTTTTTTATCCCCTTTTTTATCATCAATTGTCTTATGGGAGTCGATACGTCTTACTGTATCACCATGTAATTAAGAATACCAGATGTCCCGAAGGCTTCTTCCAACTTACGCCTAATTAGGCCTTTTTTGTGGTGAAGTCCTTCCAAGACCAACCTGTTGATGTTGATAAGACTGCATTTACATTAATTAGTAATGCTTACCTTAATGAAGTTTAAAATACGAGGCGTGATTTCGTATTTTGAACATGCTGCTCACTGGACATCGGGTGTGTGTCACGTGTGTGAATCACGTGGGTAGTAAGATTCTGAAACAGCCACTTTCCAAGGTATGTATTGGTATGTATTTTGAAGACACTCCTCTTCGTGCTTATAGAAATGTACAGTACCTAGTTGTGACCGCAAACAGGAAATCAATATGGAAGGCAAATAAATTAACAAAAATGGTATGCTGAAAACTGAAACTCGAGATTTCTGTTTTCAAAGAATGAATAATACGGTACTCAAATGTCATGGTTGTTAATAACAAATATCAATTTTCTCCAACAAAGACTATTTTCATAGAAGCAAAATTCCAAGATAATCGGACATGTCGAAAAACTAGCAAACCGCATGGGGGCGTAAGTGTTGATAAAGTTCGGTCTTAAAGCAAAAATAGGCCTAAGAGAAAGAATGAGAGCGTTGGAAACACCAAAGGCGGGTAAATACAGAGGATAATAAAAATGTTACCCCAGGAAAGAGAGACAATGAAGAGAAAGATACTAAACATCAAAAAGTAATAGTACATTATCTCTACATTACCGGACTGAGTCTCCACCCAAACCAAAAAGTTCGTCTTAATTTCTCTCTCGATAGGCCTACTCTTAGTCCTGTGAATTGTTGTCACTGGTATTTTGTATTCGTTCTAAGATTCTGATCAGTATTATAGTTGATACAGAAATATTTTCCGAGGGTTCATCTCCCACCCCACCAAACTATATTTTAACACTCTGTATAACAAATGTCTGACACCATAATTATCGCACAGATTTGATAGGAAAGAGCCTGCTAATGAAATACGGTACGGTAATAAATAATATAAATTACGAAAGACGATTTAGTGTATATCTTTGTTTACAGTGAGCTAAGCTAGACATACCAACAAACATGGGTACTGGAATCTTGTAACAGTTCATTTTGTACTGACATCTTTTATTTGCACAATGTTATATTTTACCGCAAATTTCTTCCTGGTGTCTGATTATTGACATTTCTTGGCATTGTTACCGTACCTGATTATGTAAATCCTGGTAAATAGGTTAAAGGTTTACTAACAGGAAGGGCCCCGCCTTGGGTTACAGGGACTTTTTACTTTATTTTATATTTTATTTATTTTATTGATCCTCTCCTCGCTTCCATGAGACTCCATCTGCGGCAGACTTGGGTCGAAGCCTTCAGCTATGAAGTTTTCATTAAAATGAAAGAATCTCAATTTAAATAGGCTTACCACACCTTATTGACTTCCTTACAAAAGAGTGTAATAGCATATGTTAATAATGGAATTGATCAATTTGGTACTTTTAATCAATTTAATATACAGTGTTAATACCTTATACAAAAGTAGCAGCTTGGTGCAAGTCCATGTCGTGTACTTAGGTGTTTAGTAAACAGCGCCAACTATTGACGTCGTGGGACGTGGTGTATGTGAAAACAAAAGTAAGAAATGCAATAATAAATTGGTGTATATTCTTCAGTAATAATAATAATAGTTTGATTAATCATGACAATGAATGATAATTATCATTATTACAATTATCATTATCATTATGTCTCAATATACTTTGTAGTGCCAGGTAGTTTGCAAGTTTTGAGGCATTGTGCTTGAAAGAAAAAAAAAATGTTTCTTTTTATTATATACCGGTAAGCTGATTACTCAAGTAACAATTTCAACACAATGTTCTTAAGAATAAATATATAAAAATAATACATGGAAATATTTTATGTCTGATGGTCCAAATGGGTAAACTAAATGAACAAGTTTATTGGCGGATGGGCCAAATGGCTATAACCTAAAATAAATATTTAACAGTGTTATATATGGGTCACTGGGTAAAATAACAAACAAATATTTAACAGTGAAATGGCCCAAATGGGTAAAATAACAAAAAGCATAAAACATATACATCACAGCAGCAAGAAATAAGACTATAGAATTACATATAATTTATTACCTACTTTGTGACCATAGGAAACTTTAGATGACTTAGGAAACGATGCATTAATTCATGTTTCCTCTGAGGTATTCACCGTGTTGAGGGCGTCCCATTTGCAACATTTCCGAACCAATTATGATTAATGTCTTTTGAGTTGTGTTTATTTGAGACTTGACTGGATTGAATTTTATTTGCATTCCGTCATCGACACAACTGAACTGCGCCCTCTTGATTTATGGGGGTTCTATGTATTATTTTTCTAACTTGTATAGGCCTAAGCCTACTGTAAAATAAGCCTACTCATACCATGCTCATACTGTAGTAATGTTCATATATGCTGAGCGTTTTTTAAACTCTGTAATACAATTATATTTCCATGTTTGTATTGCACCGAATAAAAATTATCATTTGTGCCTATACCTTCATATAATTAGAAATTGGGCCCTTCTTTTGGCCACTCCCCCTTCCCCAGCTAACAAATACCTCTTCTTTTGTCTAAAAAAAATCACCTCATAACACCTCAATTTTCACCGACACTTTTTCAACTTTACATAATTTGTATTTTCTTTTTAGCGGTATTGAGTAAATATTTAGAACATACCCGAATGATTTATAGCTTGGCATATGCATAGTCCGGGTTAGGCATTAATGGTTACGAAAGTTCCTGGGATACAAAAAAAAAGGGTTACGAAATGCTGACATTCCTTACAAGCTGCCTATATTCTTAACTGCTATTTAACTTTAAAAATGTAGGCCTAAGAATGCATACTCTCTCTATGGTTTAGTCAACTAGAGCGTAGCCCTCCAATACACAATGCACACAAATAATTCCACTTTCTGGATCACAGCCATCACGACTTAATTCATATGCGGATTAGAAACATGAGAACTTTGTTGCTGAATTTTGTTGCAAACAATAATGACGAAATAAGTTGGACACACTGTCATATTGCCTGTAGTCATACTGCAATAGGTCTATTGTTACAACCTGTTAATTAATAGGCCTACCCTTGCTGTGATGTCACTGACTGATAGCGGATGTATTACGAATTGCATCAAGATGTAGTGGACTTTAAACATCTAGTTGACTAGTTTAGGCCAACGGTAGTGTCTATGCCTAAATAGGCCTAATATTGCAACTTCTTGATCTTTATGTAATTTTCATCGGAATCTAATGACTTCCTAAAATCAGGCTCCGGAGGGAAAACATTTTTTGATATGTTGTAGAACTGATTTTTCTAATACAGAAAAGAGTTAATTGTTTGACGGAATTGTTAATGAGGTACAGCTTATTGAATAAAAACTGGAAGAAAAGGGGCTAACCACCATTTTCCCAGTTTTTAAGTATTCAAATATCTTGGAAAATCAGTTCTACAACATATCAACAATTTTTTTTTATCCGGAGTCTGACTTAGTATTTATTAGCCCAACATGAATAGTTTTATTTTTAAACATAATTAAAACGAACCGAAAACAAACACGATCGTAACTTGTTTTGACTTAAATTTATCTGACGCGCTTTCGAAAAATACTATCAATCAACAAGCTGATGTTTGCAATCAACTCTTTGAAAAGACATAAAACACTCTAATACGGAGCCTAAAATACGGTGATGAAAGGTAATCAGAACCTAAAGTTGTTCTTTACTTTGCTGTAAATTGATGGGTCAACACAGGTATTTGTGCCCATTACTCATCCCCTGCTGGAGGCCATCAGACGTAAACACCTGTACCTGAATCTGATGAGACCGCGAAGGTTGTCAGACATGGTTATTATTTATCATGGATTACGAATTGATGGCTAGAGATTCAACATTCCAATTTTATTCGCACATAAACAAAGTAGTGCTTACATCGTTTCCTGTGTTTATGTTATTTTTAGAATAAAGCTTTTAGACAACCGATGAAGTTTGTAGGTAACTTTAGCCACTTAGACCAAGGATGATTTTTTTTTTATATACAACGATGGTAATCGTGGATTGTTCTCTAATGTGTTGAAATACTTTTCATGCCATTAATTTTCCTATTTAAAAAATAAACGTGGAGAGACTTCAAATAAACTAGAGCTTGCAGGTCCCTGTATATGAGCTATAGGCCTATTTATATTCTGGTGTTAGTGTAGTACCTGTTTCATTAGAGCGCTGAGGTGATGTCGAGATATACAGGCCTATATTAAACCATAGAGGAGGAATTTATCTA